TAAGTGGTCATAGGAACAACTTTCTAGGTTGATGTATGGTTTGTGATGATGTGGTGTATTTCACTTAAAGTTTGAGCCTAGGGTGCAAAAGGAGGATTTCACTGTTAGTTGAGGTTTTGAAATAGATAAGATGATTTGTGGGTGGATTTCTCATGGTGTTGCCACATCATTGTAAAGCCACCAAATCATTGCAGTACCTATCTGCTTAGGTTGTTGTGAATCAGCAAATGTTGGGTGTGGTCACAGTCAGTCAAGTGCCTACCTATCTACATCTCACCCAAATTGTAAAGCATGCCAATTGCCAACTGCCAATTGCTGACAAATTCAATGAGCCCTATCAGCCAGGGAGACTGACTAAAAATAAAAAGCAGCCTGACTAAACAGACTAAAATTCAGCACCAGTTTGCACCAGAGTATGACATCATTAGGCACTGGAAAATTACGAAGTGTGCAGTTGTGATAAGGAGCTGCATTACAAACCCTAATTCTTCCTTGCCTGGCTGGTTCAGTTGTATCTCCCATATTAACATCAACATTCTCTTGGACAATATACTGCACCAGTACAGAAGTTCAGCATGATAACCAGTGGCAGATCCAGGGGGATACTTGGGGCATTAGCCTCTCCAGCAGCACCTGAAAATTGAATCTGATGAAATATTTAAGTTTTCCTTGCATTGTAAGAAAACTTGACTTCCATTTGGAAAGTTATGTTTGAAGTTTGAACTGCACAAAAAGACAAGAAGGCTGGAGGAATTTTCCAGTGAATGAAAGATCCAGTTAATTTTCAGAAAAGAAATTGGCAGCAATTGAAAAACCGTTTTTGGAGTGTTTTCACTGCTCCCTCACCCATGTCCCATAGGCCATAGCATCTCAAAACAGTTCTGGGTCTGCCAGTAATTGCACCTATGCTAGTGCCTGAGAGGCTGCATAATGCATATTCCCATGAAGAAATGAGACCAAACCTGAAACCACAGTAAATCTCTCTGTAACAGACTCAGTTGAGTACCTACTGTACACATGAGATCATATCTTAACATAATTGCCATAGCTAACTCTGCCATAGTTACTCTGCAGCTTTGCTCTCTTTATTAATATGTTAGACCACCACCACCACTGACCTTGGTGAAATTTTAGAATAAAAATACAGTTTGTGGTCTTAGCTTCTACCAGAGTTATTGATATTTTGAATACATATTTTATCATACTTGTTGAGGATGCCATTAGAATTGTTTACATTTTCCAACCTAAAATTACCAGGCTGAGAAAACCATACGATCCCCTTCTTGTGACTTCTTGTGAAGTGGTGGCCCCCTAACTGGCAAATTTAGTTCAATCATTCAGCTGTGAGTTGTGACACTAGCCTCCTGTGTCACAGCACTGGTTCACCGCGCTGTGTCGCCAGACCAGACCAGCTGAGATGGCAGACGTGGCCGGGCCGTCGGGCGCCGAGCTGACGCCCAAGCAGCGGATGGCCGAGCGGATGCGGCGCCTGCGCGAGCTGCACTCGCGGCGCACCGAGGCGCAGCAGCTCAACCACAAGGAGGTGGTGGAGGAGGACCGGCGGCAGAGCCAGCCCAAGAACTGGGAGCGCCGCCAGCAGTGGGCCGAACGCAAACTGGAGGAGGCTGAGCAGCGCGAGCTGGCCCAGAAACAGGTGCGTACCGCCGAGCTGCGCCGTGTCGATGTATGTGATATCGAACCAAAACATACATCAATCCTCTAGGTCCTGGGGCTGCGGATTTATTATTACCTATTGTTATCTTCTTACCTGCTCTCTGCTCGATTTTTTTTAGCACGAACACAAGGGTACAATGGTCACTTAGGCGAAGGCCGTTTGGTAGTTAGCGTAGTGTAGTTATGCGATATGTTTCGTCCGTGCCGTGCTATCGTGTTATTGCGGGTTAAGTGTAAAATAACAGCGCAGCTCTGTTGCCGTTCATTAGTGTCTTGCTCTTTAGTATTTTCAGCAACTGTGGTTTAGGAAGATTGGGAAAAGTCGATGACACCTACCCTAAAATGCTGAAGTGACGTAGACTTTATTCAGCCCATGAGACTTTATGTAATAGCGGATCGCTGTTATCGAACAGGTCGGAGTACCTTTACAAACCTGGCTAATGGCTGTCATGTTGAGGACTTTCTGTGAAAGCTTGAAACGAATCATGTGTGATTGTTTTATGTCTGCAGGGAGAGGATTTCGACCGCAAACGCAATTTGGACATTTCCGCCGAGGATGCAGCCAAGTGGGAACGTCGTAAGCGTAAGCATCACAACCCGGACCCGGGCTTCTCCAACTACGAGGCTTCGACGGCCAGGTGGGTCACGTCTGCGGGTCTCTCTTTTCGGCCATTGGGCTTTGATCTCCGGGGAGGGTCTGGCACAATGACCTGCTGTCCCTGACTGCTCGAAACAGTGAAAGAGTAAAAATTACCTTTACTTTTTAAAATTACCTTTTAATCCCCAGGCTTTAGTGCCCAAACTGCCCAATCCATGTTGTGTGCTGACCGTTTGGTCTAAAAGGGGAAACCTTTTAACTAAAATTATATATCTTGTCAAATCCAGAAATGTTTTATTTGATCAAATGGAATGCCGTAAACATAGCAACTAGAGCATTGACCATTGCATCGCATTTTGCACCAATGAATTTTAAAATGCCGAATAAGGGGTGACTTACATGGCATGGTTAGTGGTTACGAGACATAAAATCAAAGTATATGTATGTGTGAAGATGCCGTTGCGGAATAGCCGCGTTCTCGTTGTGACCGCCGCCGCCTCTGATCGGCAGGCAGTACGACCGTCTGGTGAAGCAGGTGAAGCCCGACATGGAGGCGTACGAGGCCAAGAAGGAGGCCATGGGCGACGCGTTCTACGCCGGGCCCGGCGCCATCGTGCATGGTCACCACAAGGACACCAAGGAGGCCATCGACAGACTGGCCGAGGACGTCAACAAACAGTGAGTGCCGCCGGCTGGGCGGGCTGGTAAAGGGGAACGCGGAGCGGGCAGACGGGAGGGCTGGCTGGACAACGATCCGGCAGAGTATGACCGGATTGTTTTTTGGATGCGATCGCTGTATTTGATTGCATTGATAGTACCGAACCCGAGAATCAATTTTGCCAGATACGTCTCAAAGGTTTTCAGTTGTACAGGTTACGTTCTGTCATGTCTCTGTTTTCCACATTTAAAAAAGATAATTACGAAATGGTGCGTAGCCGTACAGTGTTGTTTGTCCGCAACATCAGTACCATCGATATATTTACTCTGCCCTGTATTACAGGATTGAGAAGCGAGCCAAGTTCAGCCGTCGCCGCATCCATGACGACGAGGCCGACATTGACTACATCAACGAGCGCAACATGAAGTTCAACAAGAAGCTGGAGCGCTTCTACGGCCAATATACGCAGGAGATCAAGCAAAACCTGGAGCGCGGCACGGCCGTGTGAACGATCCGTGCCGTGGGCGCGTCCAGTGAGTGTGACCCATGGCGCGAGAATGTTCAGTGTGGTTGCGTGTGATGAAGCGTGCGCGTCCGTCTGTAAGATCTGTCACTATTGCTAGTTGCCATGCCAACGCAACGTTCGGTGGGGTGGCTATTTTGTTTAACTGTTGAGTCGCTGATTCACAGTGGTACAGAAGTGCCGGGTTTCAGCTAGGCGTTAGCTGTCACCAGTCTTGGTCCCGGAGAATGGAATCTGGCTGGGGAACAGCAGCAGCTGGTCGGTTTTTATAAAAGCCTGCTACGTCATACATTGGGGTAGCAGTTCGAACAGTCTCAGACCCGCAGGGGATCAAAAGGGGGCCTAGCTTCCTATATGGGCTGTCGCTGTGCCGTGGTGGCAGGGCTGCCGTCGAGTAGCCATCCAGCGGCTATGGCCGGAGATTCTCCCGGTTGATTTCGCGTCCTCGGTGACAGTCCAGCTCGCCAAGTGCTGAGACGGGAGGGTGGCCGATGTGGGGTCCCTCCTGGATGGCTCCAATTATCATTGGTGGTTGACTATGTGGGCTCTCGCCCGGCGGCGCAGAGCTACTACGAGTCGCTTTTAGATAGGCTAACGGGTTGTGTGACCAAAGCACCCGTTGTCGGCGCGTGACGAAGCGTATGTGTTCTGCTAGCTGATGTCATCAAACCGCCTGCGTCAATGCTAAAGCAACAACGTAGTTCCAGAGGCACTCAAGCAACACCGGTTTGCATTCTGTTGCAGCATGCGTCGCGGTTGGAATCCATTTTACGTGGTACAAAGATGTACGATCACTGGGGTGACGTAACCTTGGGTCGTATACATTATTCGGCATTCGTCAGGCGATGGAACACCGTACTGCGCAACCGTTCTGTGATTGAGGTAGTCACCCAATGGAACATTTCGACTGTGCAGTTCGGCGAAACACGAACTTCCGATGGGCGATTCAAACATCGCCACTTCTTGCAACCCTAAAATACACGGCATCCTGGATCAGGGGGCAAAACGGTCGGGACAACTCTAATGAAAGTAACTGAAACCATGATAAAAAAGTACCGAAAAACGCATTTGCTTGAGGAACTTTAACCATGCCTCATTATGCCAGGTTACATAGGGCTTTTGGCGAGTCTCTAGCTCATGGATTCTGCCATGATTTCGATGCGGTGTTCTTCGTATCGCTAAATGCGATCATTTTGTCTGTTTAAGAGCGCCATCGGTATATTTTTCGACATTTCCGGCCGACAAAGCAAGCACCTCGCAAAAACCTACATACCTAGGTAAATACATAGGTAAAAATGTATAGGTATTTGGCCGCTTCGTTTAGCCAGTTCACGGCATTCGAGACCTTCACATCGAAGGCAGCTTCGCTATGGGGCAAGCGACAGCCCTCAGCTGAGAGCCGGCGAAATCCGGATCACACCAGCTGAGACGTCACGCTCGGGGGGGGGGGGGGGGGCATCCGCCGCAGTCATAGCTGACAAAGATGACTGAAGGACTCGCGACCTGGCCTGAAAAATCATCTGCGTCTCGCCACCTCACATACCCTGTTCATGTAAGTACACGTATGTATAATGTATATTGGATAGGTACATAACGTCAGAACGGTCCATTCACTAAGCTTCGCATTCAAATTATTCAGCCACTTCTCCACGGTCTGGATAGGACATCCACCTACGGCGAAACATGATACATCAGACAACGTTAAAATCCCGCCCCAACGTGAAACGCTCAACTGTGAAAACGGCTGGCTGATAAGCACGGCTGCCAGACAAATAAAAAAAACCGGTCTTCCAGCGGACTGGCGGCGCACGTCAGGCCGGACAATACGCAAATGCCACTGCGGGCGGTCCGCTCTCAGCCCAGGCGGCGCCACCGTTACACACACTGGTTGTGACCGGTCGGCGGCGGAGGTGGTGCCTGCGGCGCGGCGGGCGGGCTGGTCGGGCCGCCCTATCACAGGCGGGGAGTCGGTACCGTGACACTGGGAATGTGACGGGGTTAGCACAGTTCCGACCGTGGAGACGGGCGCGCGCCGGACAATTACGGGGGCAGGGCCTCTCGGCAGCGCAGACTCCATCGCGGCACCGGGCCGGATGGGGCGCCCCAGCGGGTCCCCGGTCACCCCAGATCCAGCAGTCTTACCCCCGGTACTGCGCCCCTGACGGCCATCCGCCGAGGATCGCGCTCGCCTCCGTCCAATTGGTTGCTAGTTCGGGCCGGCACGGCTGCCTCAGTTGCCGCCCATGGCGTACAGTCGGGTCCAGTCGCGCGCGTTCCGGATCGCCTCCGCCTCGTCGCACTTCCACAGCTCGGCCACGTCGTTGGCGAGCGGATCGTCCGGGTTGGGCGCGCTGAGCAGCGCCTGGATCGAGAGCAGCACGGTTCGGATCTGCAGCGCCGGCGACCACTTGTCTGCGGAGACCGGGTCCGGCCGGGTCAGTCCTAGCTGCAATGCGAACCCAAAGTCCGCAGGAGGCACAGCCATATCCCCGAGAAATACCAGGGGTGGGTGGTGGCTCGTCAAATATGCACATAAATAAAATACGCCAAATATGAAATTTATTGCTCAAATGCTACGGTAGCTTGGGCTGGCAGTGTAGGACTAGGGACTATATCGAAGGGACCTTCAACTGAAACGAGAAATAATTCCCACGAAAATGTGAATTACTTGGAGAAATCCGTAAACACCGCTGACAGAAAGTACCTTTAAGAATGTCAAGACAGATCCTGCCTAGCTTGTCGATGTTCGGGTGGTAGATTTTTGTCATGAAACGAACTTTAGGCGCCGACATCGGGTACTCTTCGGGCAGGAACAGTTCTAGCTTGAATACACCTCCATCAAATGGCGAGCCTTCAGGACCTGACGAAATAAAATCGCGACATTAGTTGAGTTTGGAACGTACCAAACTTTGTTTACTGGAACAAGGCATTGAAATTCCGCCAGCCAGTCATAAGTAGGGCGAAAATGAGTTTCTTGTAGCCACATAAGACAAGCAGCTGAACTTTGCCGACATTTCATTGCGTCAGCTTACCTGTGACCACCACGTGAAAGTATCTGGCATTCTGCTCGTCGGGCACGGCGCTTATCCCCGGAACTGGCTCGGCCATCAATCGCTGGGTTTCCTGGCAATGTTACACAGTCAGTACAATGCAATCCATAACGGCATATACCACCCAACAGTTTTGAATTACTATCGCACAGGTAGGTAGTGCTAGAGTGCTACAAAGGAAAAGCTGTGTGGAAACGTTGGATTCAAACATGATTTAATTAAATCAACTATGAATGCAATGAATTAGATATATTTATCTTTATTTGTGTTATATGTACCTGTATGACTACAAAATACAGATTTAGATATTCTTACCTTAATGATTCGCCGTGGAAGTTGTGAAGCCATGCTGCACTGTAGGGTAGCTATTACCTGGAAAATTAGATATACATATACCTAACTAGAAGAATAGAAATCTGACCGCTGTAATAGAAGCTGATTATGATCTGAATGCTGTAATTTTATTACAGACTAGCCCGCGCGTGCTGGTGAGTCTGAGTTTTCCGTATCATCCTGGGGGGGGCGTTTTCACGCCCCCCCCCCCCATCAAACTCGGCTACTGGGCCACGCAGCGACACGCAGAAAGCGACATTCGAAAGAGTGTCCTGAATAATGAAGAAAACTTTTTTTAGAGCAGGTCAAAAGTCAGGTCGCCAGAGGTCATCAAAGGTCAAATTTTAACTATTTCAGGAAATTTTTTTCGAAGACCCGGCCAGGGCTGCGGAGTCGGAGTCGGAGTCGGAGTCGGTCGGAGTCGACAGTTGTGACCGGAGTCGGAGTCGGAGTCGGAGTCGATATTGGAAACCCCAGCCGGAGTCGGAGTCGGAGTCACCGAAAATCTGTCGACTCCGCAGCCCTGCCAGGTGTGCGGAGTCGGAGTCGGGAGTTGGAGTCGATCGGAGTCGACATTTCTGCCCGGAGTCGGAGTCGGAGTTGGTTTTTGAAAGCCGGAGTCGGAGTCGGAGTCGCCGTAAATCCATCGACTCCGCAGCCCTGGACCCGGCACATAACTCGGGAACCAATACAGCTACAGCGCCGTGGAACAGGGCAGTCGATAGCACTTATAACGCTCTTTCACTGACATGTCCTCAGGTGTGACCTCAGGTCAATGGTTAGGCTCCAGCGGACAATAAAAAACGTTTTAACGAAAAACGTTTTTTTTCTGTAATAACTTTTAACTCAAGAGAGTCATGACTTAACTTTTACCAGCATAGTGTTCCCTCGTGAATACGCGTCGAATGAACTATAATTTGACCTTGAAAGGTCATTTTGAAAATTTGACCTCAGGTCAAAGTCATGACCTGACCAGAAAAGGTCATGTTACTGATCAGTTGATCGATATCGCCGAGCTGAACACATCTGTGGTGTTTTCACCGCTTTAGCATGCCTCTATCAAAAGTTATTGTCAAAAAACTGCTGGGGACCTTTCATGACCTGAGATGACCTCAGAAGCACAAAGAGGGGTGCATTTTTCGATTCATTGTGCCATTTATACCCATAAACTGATGCTTGAGTGCTTAGAACGACGTTCGTCCATAAGAAGTCGAAGAGCATTTCAATTTCCTCCTATTAACTTATAAATGAAGAGGTCGTACAATTGGCCAGACCTTAGGTCACAGATAGCAAAAATTCTGAGACATACATTTTTTTACATACTGTTACTCCTATCAATCGCTGAAAGTTTCAAAGCAATCATTCAGTTGGTTTAGCTATAGTGAGCATTGGAACTTTTTATGAGGTAAGACCTGACTTTGAATGACCCAGGTCTGAAATTTTCACAACATGTGCAGAAAAGACATATTAACAGGTTCCTATGCCAAAAATGGCAGTGTTTTTTTAAATGTTCGAGAAAAACCTGAGGGGGGCATAAACACGCCCCCACCATGGTTTAGGCTAGGATTGGTTTGATAAGGTGATTTAAAATTAGTTCTGATGTTCATTTCACTTATTTTAATACTAGTTATGAAAGAAAATTTCATTTTGTTATCCTAAAATTAGAGATATTGGAAAAAGGAAGAATGATGTAGGCACAAATTTTTACAATCTTGGTAAGCTCTGATATTAATACCACAAAAATACAAATTGACACAACAGATCATTACACTTATGCTCAGAATGTGAGGGAGTTTAACTACCATTCTACTGAGTAAATTTCTATTTTGTGGCTTGACCCATGGCCCATCATGATCTAGGCTGATAGCTAACCAAGATTTACAAAATATGTGCATACCTTTTCTTTTCCATACTTTCAAGGAAAAACAACAATTTGCCTTATGTTGTCAGTTGTTTACTTTGTTCTTTCCTAGGACACTTAACATAATCTTTATTTATTTTAGTTACAAGCTTTTGTTGTCAGGACATAGGTTTACCCTGAAAATATTACAGCATTGACAGTTCATGCTGACAAAATGGCTTGGAACTGTCCAGTGGAATGAAAAGTATCCAATAGCAAACATGTGCATTACACATTGGCTCATGTGTTGGGCTCAAAAATTATTCATCAATGCACAACTGAGTGGTTAAACTCAACATAGATAGGATTGAACAGTCTGCAATGGTTAAGCCCCCGCAGCTCTGGTAGCATCATTTTACGCAGGACCTATTCTATTTTTATTTCACAAAACATGCTACTTAACCGTGTCCCAATTTTACAGTTTGCTTAGCTAACTTGTACTTGTATGTATGAATAACTTAACTTGTATGAATACAGCACAAAAGCTGCTGGTGCCCAAGCTAGTCCCCGTCCCCATGCTACAAGCCGCGGTTGTGCCAATTACGGCGCAAAGCGACAGAAGTTGCATTTAATTGTTCAGATATTTTTGACTACTAAAAGTCGTTCTAGAAGACTTCTCGACGAAATAATCTTATTTTTAATCCAATATATTCCCCTAGAACACTCCCTAGAACGAGGATAAACAAGCCACAACCATCGGCAACTCGCCTCAACGCATCTACTAACTCAAAAATTTAATTGTGTTCTTTTTGGATTATAGTTACATATTCTGCTTGCGTAAATATTTTCATGACAAGACCCTTTGTTTGTCGGGTAACATAATTAAATATGCTTAGAAAGAGAAAGGTTCCCAAATCCCATAGGTTATTTTTTTATTTTTGGATGACTATGATTTGGCCACTGCCACTGGGAAAAATACAAGTCTCGGCCAAAAGCATTTGCAAACGCATGTAAGCACGCATTTTTGAACACCAGCGTTGGTTGTCAAGGTTGTTAAATTATTAACCATTAATTAGCTACAACGCCCATCAGACATAAATTTGCTGTTACACCAGTGAAACGCCCTTTGGGCGAAGAACGAGCGAGCGAGATAGTGAGCCCTGCTCGTGCGGAAGGGCGAGAGGGTACTTCCAACGGGCTTGCGCAAAGCACCCTTCTAACCGGTCGCTAGCGGTGTGCCAAATTTGAACGCAATCGGCCCAGCCGTTCCTGAGATCTGGAAGCGGCATTCTGCACGTGTGCACGTGCAAACGGGGTCCAAACTGACTTTTGCACGGCACCCTACTAACTGGTCCCCAACCGTGTACCAAATTTGAGCGCAATCAGCCCAGCCGTTCTTCAAATTTGAGCCCCCTGCACGTGCGCACGTGCAGTAGCACCTTAACCACAACACATGGGAATGCATTGCCTGGTGGGTGCCTACTTGTATGCCAAGTTTCAGCGAAATCGCCCCAGTAATTACCGAGTTATTAAAATGGGAACAAATTTGACACCTCTTCTTTTTGCATTTTGCACGTGCAGTGGGGGTCACTCACATAGATCAAGAGTGTCCGACCATTGGTATAAGGGATGCAGCTACCCTACAAAAATTACCGCAAGACAATCGCCCAAGCGGCTGCTGAGATATGGGCCTCTCAAAATCACTACTTTTGCAAAACAGCTTGAACACCCTTGACATTTCACGTGGCACGTGCCACGACGGTCACTGAGATGTATCAAAAGTAGTCAAATACGGGGTAGAAGGGATGGGGCTACCCAGCAAAAAAGACCGCAAGCCAATCGGTCCAGCGGTTGCTGAGATATAAGCCTCTCAAAAGCGTTACAGGCCGGGCCGGGCCGGGCCGGGCCGCTCATACTGAGATTTTTCCGTTATATTGAAAAGACTCGCTTCGCTCGCTGCGCTCGCTCGCTGGTAACCAGTAAAACGCCTTTTGGGCGAAGAGCGAGCGAGCGAGATAGTGAGCCCTGCACGTGCGGAAGGGCGAGAGGGTACTTCCAACGGGTTTTCGCAAAGCACCCTTCTAACCGGTCGCTAGCGGTGTACCAAATTTGAACGCAATCGGCCCAGCCGTTCCTGAGATCTGGAAGCGGAATTCTGCACGTGCGCACGTGCAAACGGGGTCCAAACTGACTTTTGCACGGCACCCTACTAACTGGTCCCCAACCGTGTACCAAATTTGAGCGCAATCGGCCCAGCCGTTCTCGAGAGCTGGAAGCGCCCCCTGCACGTGCGCACGTGCAGTAGCACCTTAACCACAACACATGGGAATGCATTGTCTGGTGGGTGCCTACTTGTATGCCAAGTTTCAGCGAAATCGCCCCAGTAATTACCGAGTTATTAAAATGGGAACGAATTTGGCACCTCTTATTGTTGTATTTTGCACGTGCACTGGGGGTGACCCACATGTATCTAGAGTATCCTATTTTTGGTAGAAGGGATGCTGCTACCCTACAAAAATTACCGCAAGCCAATCGCCCAAGCGGCTGCTGAGATATGAGCCTCTCAAAATCACTGCTTTTGCAAAACAGCTTGAACACCCTTGACTTTTCACGTGGCACGTGCCACGACGGTCACTGAAATGTATCAAAAGCAGGGGCGCCGCCACGGATTTTTGACTGGGGGGGACGGACTGACCGACTGAAAACCCAAAAGTAGGCATTCTTACCGTGTCTTTTTCGGCCCGATGCATTCAAAGTTTAAAGCAAATATGCCACTTTTAACATTGGGTTTTGAACTGAAGTAGCAGTTTTGTAGCCTGAGCTGAGACAAGAACAAATCAGAAGCTTTTATGGCCCAACGATCACCCTAGCCAAAGATATCGGTATCGATTTTAGGTTTGAAGACTTAGGTTTTGAAGACCCTTGCCGAGGAATCCATTCCCTTACGGAAAAATGCCAGCCAATCAGCATTCAGCTGGTTTGAACTACGTAATATGATTGGCCAACGCGTAATCAGCTTCCGCTGCAATATCAGGCCTCTACGAAAGACGGTAATTGGTTTTTAACTTCTTATGTAAGAATAAAAATAAAATCCTTTTGCAAATATTCATTATGTTATTTCCTGACCATTTTAAGCATAAAAACTCATAAACCTGTGGCAAAACAACTGGTTTGAGGAAAGTAGTTTAGGTAGGTATTTCCTTTAATAGTCCCGAGACCGAACTCCCACCGAGTACCTACCTATATACACATCTGATGTCCGATTCAATTTTGACACGGCAAAGCCTCTAGTGTTCTATCAGGGTATAATTGCTGATGTATGCCACTAATCTGATCGGTAATGCATATTGCATAGGATGCATACCCGCGTGGGAGAGGAGGCGTTGTATAGTTACAATCTCTCTTTCTGGCTTGTGCATGAATCGGCGCGAAGCGCCGCGAAAATTGGCAAAAAAAAAACATCAGGCAAAACTGCTCCAAAATACGAATTTTGCAGCCCGTTTAACAAGCTTGATACCAGAAAACTTTAGGTCAGGTCACCAAGTCAAGTAGTCAAGTCGCCTCAAAGTTTTGTGGTCCTGTCAACGGTAGGCCTATAGCTTATTTCTTAGAAGCTGAAAATTTAGTGTAGTGTGACTGCAGAACTGTGGGGTCGGAGCCGGAATTAGTCGGAGTGAAAGTTTTGGCCAGAGTCGGAGTTGAAGTCTTCGAAATTGTTCGGATTTTGACTCCGAGGTCGGATTGGTTTAAAATCATGCTCTTGGCTAGTTAGACGAAATATATTATGCCCGTTTTCTGCCAGTCGTGTTATGCGACACACGTTGATCAGTGATCACGATATCAAAAATCGGCAGTTCCGCGATGACGGGTCGGATAAGAGCTGGAGATTTTGTTGGCCGAGGTGGCAGGGGTCAGACCAATGCATGTAGGCCCATACCCCATAGTATCTAAACCTCCTGGACCCTCTCAGATTCGGCACCGTTCCATCTCTTCCATCCTCAGGACAGTCAAATCCTTCTCCTCCACGCCGCGATCCCCTGCTCCGGGCTGGACGGGCAACTTTATCCCATGCGGGAATGGCTCCACTGGAGCTATAGTCCTTTGCCGGGTGCAGTGAGTGCCAGTGGGCTGGGCTGCCTGTTCAATTGGTCGGGTTCAGCCCAAGTGGCTCACTGGCGTGGCTGCCCAGACCAATGTCTCCCACTGATTCTTTCATCCTTCCCGCTCTGAAATGGTCTCATTGGACCGAAGGGCCTAATCAAATTTCGAGTAGGAAAACAACCAGTAAAACGCCTTTTGGGGCGACCAACGGAGCGAGCGAGGGGTGGGCCTTGCACGTACGAAATTGCGAGGGGGTACCTCCAACCAACTTGTGCACTGCACCACCGGTCCCTACTCCCTAACCATGTGTCAACTTTCAGCATAATCGGGTCAGCCGTTCTCGAGATCTGGAATCGACCCCTGCATGTGCGCACGTGCAGCAGCAACCCCCAACTGTGGCACATAGTCAAGGATATGCATTGCCTAGTGGGTGCCTACCTACATGCCAACTTTCAGCGCAATCGGCCCAGTATGTTACCGATATATTATAATTGTTACAAAACTGACCTCTTCGTTTTTCACGTGGCAGGTGCATAATGGGTCACCCACATGCATCGAGAATAGTTCAATACTTGTTAGAAGGAATGAAGCTACCCTACAAAAATTACCGCATGTAAATCAGTCAAGTGGTTCCTGAGATATAAGTCTCGCAAAAGCACGACCACGGCCGGCCGCTCATACTCAGAATTCAGAAATTTTCCGAAAGACTACGCTCGCTTCGCTCGCTCCGTAATGAGTTTGGGGGGGACGTCCCCCTTCCATTCTGAGAGTGGGGGGGACGCGTCCCCCCCGTCCCCCCCGGTGGCGGCGCCCATGATCAAAAGTAGTCAATTACGGGGTAGAAGGGATGGGGCTACCCAACAAAAAAGACCGCAGGCCAATCGGTGCAGCGGTTGCTGAGATATAAGCCTCTCAAAAGCGTTACAGGCCGGGCCGGGCCGGGCCGCTCATACTGAGATTTTTCCGTTATATTGACCAGTATAACGCCTTTTGGGGCGACTAACGGAGCGAGCGAGAGGGTGAGCCTTGCACGTGCGAAATTTCGAAAGGGTACCTCCAAGTGACTTGTGCACGGCACCCTACTAACCGGTCTCTAGCGATGTGTCAAATTTTAGCACAATCGGCCCAGCCGTTCTCGAGATCTGGAAGCGGTACCGTGCACGTGCGCACGTGCAAAATGGGTCCCAACTGACTTGTGTACGGCACCCTACTAAACGGTCCCTAACTGTGTACCAAATTTGAGCGCAATCGGTCGAGCCGTTCTCGAGATCTGGAAACGACCCCTGCACGTGCGCACGTGCAGCAGCACCCCAACTCTGGCACATGGATATGTAGTGCTTAGTGGGTGCCTACCTACATGCCAACTTTCAGCGCAATCGGCCAAGTAGTTACCGAGATATTGCAACAATTATAAAACTGACACCTCTTCGTTTTGCACGTGGCACGTGCATAAGGGGTCACCCACATGCATCGGGAATAGTCCAATACTTGGTAGAAGGAATGAATCTACCCTACAAAACTTACCGCATGTAAATCGGTCAAGTGGTTGCTGAGATATAAGCCTCGCAAAAGCGTCCGCACGGC